GCAACACAATAAGGTCATATCAGTGCCGAAGATAAGAGGTGTTACAAGAGAGCAACAAACACAGGGGTTTCTAGAGGGCTACACAGAAAGAAAATAAAAAGACATAAGAACAATAGATATTCGATAAAAAGAAGGAGCAAATCACATCAGAGCATCCACCAACCACCCACGTAAAAAAAGGGCACCAATGTATCGGCACATGGGACAGAAAGAGTTACGGTGAAAACATCATAGACGAGAAAGTAGATAACAGCAGTTTCCAATCAATACCAACCATCCCACAGTTTATGTGCACGGTGTACAGAAATAGCCGTGGCGTGTCTTCTCTTATCAGCAGGGTTGTGTAAATAAACAAGGCAGCTGACAGGGCCGACCACACAACTGTACTATGTGTGGATATAAGTTATGGGAGTATGTGAGTGTGTCTGTTTGTCTGTATGTATACATCTGTCTGTGGGTCCGTATCATCAACAAGCTGTTCAAATGCACTAAGACTAGAAAGCAAATTTTTTTCAGGACAGACAAAAACAAAACAAAACTTATCTCATTCTTTTAACAATTGAACCTAAATTTCATGTGTTTTACCTCACTTTTGACAACATTTAGAATTTGATTTTAGACAATATATGTTTTGAGCTCTTGCAACTAACACCACAGATTTAAAAAACTGCAATTAAGAAAAATTGTCAAAAGTTTGGGTTTAGTACATCTGAAGAGCTGGCTGACCATATGTGTTTCGTTTGCGGGGGCATGAGTATATGAGCAACAGATTGTGAATGCTTACGATGTGTTAAGAGGATGTACATGTGAGTGTGTGCACAAGTGTGGGGGTATGTAAATGTAAGCTAGTGTGAGTTGCTTGTTTGTTGGTTTGTTTGAGTAAGGAGCAGCACATCAACACAATAATGGTCATTTAGCGCTTGGAAAGAGTAAGACAGACAGACAGACAACAAAAGAGAGAAAGTAAAGAAGTAGGACCTACCAGTGTGTGTTGCATGTGTGTTTGTGTTTGCACAACAAGTTTAAGTGTGTAAACCTGGAAGCCCAAATATGAGCATATGCATTCCAATGTGTGTGTTATAGCCTGTCTTTTCTGAACTGTGTCTGGCAAATAGACGTACATCTTTGAATTTCATCATCCACATCAAATCATTCAAAGGAAGTCAGTGTACACATATCATTGTTGTCACAAGGAAAAAGCTCATCTTAAATTTTATGTCGCTTTGGGCACAAACCATTTAAGTCTGAAGACATATTTTATATAGGAAAAGGAAAAGATTGATTTCTGAAAAGAAGTGGCAGAAAATAGATGCTTTGATTACTTGACTGTTTGGAACATTTATAACTGTCTGAAGGCTGGGATAAAAATTGACACGGTATAAATAGGACTCCCTTGCTATTTCAAGAATAAAAAACATCAGAGGTAAATTCACCATCAGCTGGTATTTTTTTCCTCATTGTCATCAGTGTAAAGGTTTAATGCCCCTTGTTACAGTGTAAGATTATCTGAGAAGCGGAGCCTCTGAATTTAAACATCCATCTCCAACTGGACTGAGCCAAATGAGCGGAGAGCCTTAAATACTCCCCAAAAGAACCCAAGTTCAGAACACCCCATCGGGAATTCAAACCAGGGCCAAACACTCCATGGTTCAGCATGACACCAACTGACCTAAGGGTGAGCCGTTTTCTTTTTGCTTGAGGTCATTGATATTCATATAAGAGTCTAAGAGCATGGATAACTATGATGTGTATGCCAGTACCATATCTAAGAGCATGGATAACTATGATGTGTATGCCAGTACCATATCTAAGAGCATGGATAACTATGATGTGTATGCCAGTACCATATCTAA